GATTCGAAAGGGTCACCCCGCCCCGCCCCCCACAGGCTCCGCCTTCTTCTGCTGCTCTTTCCTCCTGCCCAGGGCTGAGCACTGTTCATCCTCATGGGCATTTTCAGGAAGCTCTGTCCCTGACCAGGATCCTCCTTCTTGATCTCAGAACTTCTTCATTCTGTCCTCCACCATGGGGGTCTCCTGTGCTACGTCCCTTACATATTAACTCAAACCCAGTCTGCCCTGCCGGCGGGAGAGCCTGTATGTTCCTGCCAGGACTGTAGCTTCTCACTTAGCAGAACGTGAGAACACGCTCAGATCTCTCCAAAGGAACTTATACACACAGAACACTTCCTCCACAGCAAGCTGGACCACGGCTGTCCGTTTGTAAGATGTTACAATGCTGTGGGGTTTCTTAGAAATAACACATTCTCAACCTGGGACGCATCCCGGTTCCAAGCTTCAAAAGCCCTTGGAGTTTCCTGAGTGACTGGTGACGCAATGGGGTGTGGGAAACAGGGCCTACACAGCTCAGGCTGAGGGAGCTGACTGCCACTTCAGGGTTTGGGCACTCAGATCCAACCCCTGACCTCAGGAAGAAGGGGCTAGAGGCGGCTTTAGCCAACAACGCTCAATCCTGCCTATATAACCAAGCTTCCCAAAGCCTCCACAAAACCCTTAGCACGTGAGCGTATTAACAAGCGGGAGGAGAGGACCCCAAAGCTTTGTGGCCACGTCCACCGCCCACGCGTCCCAGTGTTAATCACGTCACCAAGGCTGTCCACGTCTCTCTGTGGTAAGCTGCCCCACGTGTAAGTGTTTCCCTGTGGGTGAAGAGCCTGCTCTGCCCGCATGAGGACTTGATTTGGGAGCAGGGGCAGAGACAGGGGAATCCCTGGACTGGCCAGGCAGCCGGTCCAGATGCAACAGGTTCAGTGAGAGACTGTCTCCAAAACAGAAGGTGGAGCATGACAGAAAAAGAAATATGGCGGGTGCACACGTGGGCGGGCGTGCATTAGTAATTCTTGCGGAATTAACACGGGAAAAACACTTGGCTTCTTCTTAGGGCTCCACACTAAACACACAACCCTGCAGGAAGGGAGGTACAAGGGACTTCAACAACAGTCTCCCAGAGCCACGGGTAGCTCTCAAGGGACCGTGGTCACCGTGTCACGGCAGAGAAAGGGACATCGAGGCTCTGGGCTTCCAGCAGGTTGAGTTTGGCTTGTGTCTACCTACACGCTCAGCTGTTCAATACACCCACAAGCACCCAGGCCTCTGAGGCAGACAGCACACTTCCAGTCTGACAGGCTCCTGGCCTACAGGGCGCCTCGCTGCTTACAGGTAGCCATCTTAATGAGTCCGGTCAGAGACTCTTCCCAGAGAAACGATAGGTCTAACAAGAAAGAGATTCCCAGCCCCACACACACCAGGACAAAGGGCCAAGCTGCTCTTGCTTTTCCTCGGCAGAAGCAAAGCCCCAGGCGTAGGTCTGAAGGAGAGGCTAGGTCTATCCCTAAACTGCTCCTCCATCCTCCCTCCAGGAAGTGGGCCCCGGCACCACCGCTCCTAACAAATCAGGAAGGAATGGCCACAGTGGCCTCAGACACTCAGTCAGTTGTGACCAGTGAGGCACAGCTAGAAATTCTGATCATGTGTTTCGGGGTCACTCTGGGCACGACACCTGTTCACAGCTGCACAGGGGAGAGCCGTACGGATGCATGCCTGTGCTGGGCGTGGAGGGGCAGGCCTCCCTGCGGGCAGCGGTGAGGGAAGCAGGGCAGGCGGGGTCTTCTCCAGGAGAGGAAGACTGCTGCAGACCGCACAAGACCAGTTGGGAGTCTCAGGAAATGAAGCCCGTGGAGAAAGCCAGGCCGCCAAGTCAATCCGTGTGGCGGAAGCCACGAAGCCAGAGGTCTAGCCAGCAGCAGCAGCCACTCAAGGTCTGTATCTGTACAGAGAACCCAGGCTGGGTCTACAGCGTGCCCCAAAGCTGTCTTTGAGGCATGACACACAGCTCCCCATCCCCTGGACACCCCTCTGTCACACGTCTACCCTGCACCACTGTGTCCCAAGCTCCTGGCTACGTGGTCACAGCCTTGTCTCCATCTGTTTGTCCCCTGCCTAAACTAAAACATCCTTTCTCGCTCCCTTCCCCCTTGGTCATTACCCCATTGCTCACATTCTTCACCACAGAGCACACCACCAGTTCAGACTGGCTGGCTAGACCGAGCTTGAGGTCCTCAAAGAAACAGTGTCCCTTCCCAGGTCAGACTCGACCACAATAAATCCCTTCCCACGTGGAGGCTCCTCCAGCAGTGGTTATGCCGGCACCTGAGAGTCAAGATAGTCCGTGTGTGTGTGTGTGTGTGTGTGTGTGTGTGTGTGTGTGTGTGTCTGTCTGTCTGTCTGTCTGTCTCTCTCTCTCTCTCTCACTCACTCACACACACACACACACACCCCTCAGGCCAACTCCCCTCTAAGGCTCATACATATGCAAACGGAACATATGTATAAAAACCATGTATGTCCCTCTTTTGTGGTTTCGTTTCTTTGTTTCTGGGTATTTTTATGGGTGTGTGAATGTATGTGTTTCTGCATCTGTGTTTCCTGTGCTTTTTCTTTGGCTATTTTGTTGTTTGTCCTAAGGTCTGTCTGGTTTTATTTTTAGATGTTTAACAAGAGAAAGATAAAGAAAGAGATTTGCAGCCAGGTGGTGGTGGCACACACTTTTAATACCAGGACTTTTAATACGAAGGGGGGGATTTAATCACCTGCCTCTGGTCTGCAGAGCAAGCTCTAGGACAGACAAACTGTCCAAGGAAAACCTTGTCTCAAAAAAAAAAAGGGGGGGGGTCAATTTTCATTAAAAAAACCTAACCTTTATTTTCTTTTTCCTTTGTTATAGAGTATTGAGAAAGGACTTGGAAACAAAGCTAGGGCCTACTGTAAACCAAGCAGATGATCTAACCCTCATCAACACTGTAATTATCATAAAACTGCTAAAATGAAGATGCTTACCTTCCAAGATGCCTTAGAACTCATTTGATCTTTCCTTGTGTCTATGCCCAGACACTGAGACAGACACACAGAGCGCCCTTTGTCCTAGGGGCCTGCCTGCAGCAGACAAGGGACTAACACGGGAGCTATCCCTCTAAGTGAGCAGGGTCTCCCATGCCTTTCTTCATTCCAAACTTACCTCCTCTCAATTAGACAAGCAAAATGTTCTTTACCCCACATACTGATTACACGCGGCTGTAAAGGTTCTCATAAAACCTGACAGCCCAGCTGGGCGGTGGTGGCGCACGCCTTTAATCTCAGCACTCGGGAGGCAGAGGCAGGTGGATCTCTGTGAGTTCGAGGCCAGCATGGTCTACAGAGTGAGCTTCAGGACAGCCTCCAAAGCCACAGAGAAACCCTGTCTCGAAAAACCAAAAAACGAAACAAAACTTGATAGTTAATCGAGAGACCCAGGTGTTATGATTCAGCTCATGTGACCCGTCTGGAAGATGTGAACAGAGCAGCCCAGCGAGTGGCAGGAACTGGATGGCTGAAGAGCATGGCGGGGAGTGACAACAGAAAGGCATGAGGCGTCTATGGGGACAGGAATGACAAAACAATCCTGAAGTGACATAGTGGGGTTGGCTGGACAACACTGAATAAGTAAATGCCGCTGAGAGACAGTTTTACTGTAATAAACAAAAACATGGCTGCGTTATTCTTTCCTTCCTTCCAAAGGCTAACCAAAAAAAAAATCTGCTTGTCACATGGTTTCATAGTCACAACACTGAGGCCCGGAAAGGACTGTCCTTTCTTAACCTGGGGAATGACTAACCCAACCGCACCGCAAACTGACAGGAGCCAAGACTCTGTCCCCACCAAGAGCGGGCCATCCAAGCCCTACCTGTCAAAGGAGACCCTCGTACCCGGAGTTTGCAGATGGCAGAGTCCAGCACAAACCCTGCTTGGGAGCTCAGAGAACAATGAGGAAAACTCTCTCAGACAAGAGAGTCCCACAGACACCTCACAGACACTTTCCCAGGATGGAAGGACAGCAACGAGACTCCAAAGCAGGCTAGAATAATGATTACCCAGAGTAAGGTTCACATTTGACCAAGACAATCACCCAGGGATTTGCATTTAAAGCCTTAGAAATGAAGCATTTCACAAATGGCCAAAATAATAAATACTTCTACTCTTGTTGTAAGACAATTGGTTTTAGAAAGAGCTGTACTGAGCCGGGCGTTGGTGGCGCACACCTTTGATCCCAGCACTCGGGAGGCAGAGGCAGGCGGATCTCTGTGAGTTCGAGGCCAGCCTGGTCTACAGAGTGAGTTCCAGGGCAGCCTCCAAAACAATACAGAGAAACCCTATTTCGAAAAACCAAAAAGAGTTGTACTGTATGGTCCTGGGTAGACAAGAGTAGGTATTCCATAGGTTTAACAATACCACATCAGACTTGGAAAGTCTTTGCAGGGCTTATTTAGGATCACACTTGCTTTGCACGTGGAATCAATAAATATACTCGTGTCTATTCAGGTACACTGGAATGGGTATGAAAATACACTGACTTCCTATGCCAGGGTGCATTTGAAGAGCTGGGTAGATTCTTTCTTCCAAGAATGTAATGCTGACTTACTAAGACACAATAGCTCATAGAATATGGTGCTGACAGTGTCAGGAGCCAAACGCCCAAGCAAGAAAATGATTAACACACACACACACACACACGCGCATGCGCATGCACTGCGCGATTTCCTTGAAGTTATGAGAAATTAAATAGACACCGGTGATTATTCTGAGCCAGCAGGAAACCGTCACACACACACACACACACACACACACACACACACACACACACGATTTCCTCGAAGTTATGAGAAATTAAATAGACACCGGTGATTATTCTGAGCCAGCAGGAAAACGTGGATAGCCAGCGCAGGTCTGAACAGCAGTTGGAAGGTCACAGCAAGGACCACACCGTAACCAGCCACCAGAGACTCGGGATGGAGACTTACCCTGGGCATCCACTGGCAGGGGCAGACGGTGAGGAAGTGCAGGACACACAATTGACACAGAAAGGAAAACAATAACGTCAAACTGGTATCCGAGCAGCGCCTGCCTACTGCTGCTCATGCTGGACAGCCGCTGCTGATGCTTACACTCCGGTGAGCAGACCCGCAACCTGCAGAAGCTGCCAGCCCAAGCTCCCCTCTCCCGCCTGGCCGATACCCTCCCTCTCAGTCATTCCTTCCCAAGTCCTCCTCGCCTTCCTACCTGGTAATTTCCACAACTAGAGGATAAAGGTTAGCTAAACAGAGAGAAAGAATACACCAGAAGAGGCCAGTTAGATGCCTTAGCAAGAATACCTTTCAAGTGTGATTTATCAAAACTTGGGGGGGGGGGGGAAAACTATATAGAGTCCTAATATACAGTAGGACAAAAATGAAAAAAATTAAGGAATCTAAATTTTTAATACAATGGTAAACATTTTATGGGTGTGGAACTCTATGGACAACCCCTCCCCCAAGTATTTATAAACTTGGTTTCCAGATTGGGGCAGGGAGAGACGCCAAGAATTCACCTATTTAAAGGGTTAATGTTAGCCAGGAGATGGTTGTGCACATCTTTAATCCCAGCACTCGAGAGGCAGAGGCCGGCGGATCTCTGTGAGTTCGAGGCCAGCCTGGTCTACAGAGGAAGATAAACAAAAACAAGGGGGCAAGGGCACCCTCCATTAACACTCCAACTTTCTTTCTCAGATCAAATCCCTGACAAGCCACTAGTGTCTACAGATGGAAACACAAGCACTCACCCTAACATAATCTTTAATTTTACTTTCACTGTTTTGCAGTACTGAGGACTGAACACACGGCCTTATACATACTAGCCAAATGCTTTCCTACTGAGCTACATTCTCAAGCGATTTTTAAATTCATATTACTAAAGTATGTGCTGGGGATATAGCTCAGCTGCAGAGGATCTGCCTGCATGTGGGTGTGACTCAGAAACGCCCCTACACACACACACACACACACACACACACACACACACACACACACACTATAATAACATGCAAGTTAGTTCATGAGACGCGAGGACACTGGTTTCGCACAGCAACACGCCTGGAGCAGACAGACAGAGCTTAAAGCATCCTATTCTGGATGCTGCTACTTCGCAGGTGGGGTCCCAAAGACTTGAGCAGGAAGCTGTGACCGAGTTACCCCGCTCAGAAGTCAAGGCCCACATCACTCCTCTAGCTTCCTGTGGCCCCGTCGCCTCCACGTTTTAGGAAGGCTGGCTCTGCCCTACGCCCTTGGCCCTTAGACCAGAACTTGTCTGACATGAGGGTCAAGCCTCCTCTCTCTGGTCCCTTGCTCCTGGCTGTGTGTGCACTCTTGCCTGCCTCTGAGAATGAGAAAGCCTTGAACACGTATGCATATAAAACGATGTCACCTCATGAAAGTCACTGAAAGTGTTTGTGACAGAAACACTGAGACACTGTTAGATTACTAATCACCAAGCTCTACAGTGAAAAGCGAGCTAGATAAAAAACGCGGTAAACAATTATGTTTGCTGAGTAAGAAACAGGGGATACGGGTCGTTCACAAGCCGCATCCTGTATCAAGTGTCCGCTGCTGTCAAAGACAAGGCTAGTGCCAGGCTGATCTGCACGGAGGCATTTGGAATCTCCGGATGGGACATGAGAGGAACCACCAGGTCACAGAGCAGAGAAACGTGCACTGGAAAAGGGCCTCACAGCATCGGAAGGCAGCCAGAGAGACCCTGGCTGCGTGGGTCAGACTCAGCTCTATGGGAACCCGTAGTGAGGCTCAGTTCTATCATCGGGACACGCGGAACCGCGGAGCTGTGGCCCTCATGTTCTGCGTGTTCCGCGTCAACTCCGGCTCGCCAACCCTTCACGCCAGAGTCAGGCACCTGCCTCCTGAAGGATGTGAGCAATCTAAACCCAACGGGCTTTCTCTCAGAATGGGAAATGCCAGCCACCCAGAACCCCAAACTAGCCTCAGGTTTTCTCCCGCCCTTAGACAATGGCTCTTCCAAACTGCTGCCCAACTGAAACCTCCCAGAAGAGCACCCCTCAACATCCTGGCAGAATCATGATCCTAGAGCCTTCTAGAAGGCTGTGCCACCATTAAAAACTGTAGGCCTAAAAACATACTTAGGTTTTTTTTTTGGGGGGGGGGAGACAATAAAGAAAATTTTATTGTCCTTGAAGTAACTAGATCACCCAGAATGCTGCAGGCAGCTGGGCCAACCGGTTCAGAGAGAGCCAGCACAGCACTTGGAGCGGGGACCTTGTCAGGACTGTCAGGACGCAGAGGCAGAGCCCCTGATCATAGCCTCCACTCTCTCAGCCTCAGGCCCAAAATGCCTCAAGAAATTCACAATCCGATGCCAATTATTACCAAGTCCCAAGGCCAGGCGCCTTTCATGTTTGGTGAGGCCCAGCATCCTGAGTCTAGAGAATCATTCTCTCTCTCTCTAGCCTGGATGTACAGCTCATTAGCACCCAGGCAGCCTGCACCAGCACTGGGTAGCTCTAATTGCCACAACTTCCTCTAATGGCCCAAGCCACCAGGCTGCACCCAGAGGTCCAAATTCTGCTAATTGGACAATGCCAGTGACTTTGAGTGGCAGGTGAAAACCTTCTCAGCTCTATGCAGTGCTTAGATCAAATGGATTATCTCTACATCCAGGAAGCTGAGGTCTTGAGGGAGAGCCGCTACTTCTCCCTTGTCATTTTCAATAGGCTGCTAACCCTTCTCTAAGCCCGACACCTGGACCACCTCTTCAAGACCACTACCAATCCCATTTCAGGGCTGCCGAGCTGCCAACCAGGTGGACAGTCTGCTCTTCCAGGGGTCCCGGTTTGACTACGGTAGCATCTCCATTCACAACGTTTTCCTGTAGACTCGCTAGAACAATTCAGGCTGTAAGTCCTATGACTTGTCAAGGGCCAGCTACCAGTGTCCTCACGAGACTAAGAAGCTGAGACACACAAGACCTCAGAAACAGCAGCAGCCATGACGGACAGAAAATGTGAGCGTCTCTGAAAACGCCACCGCACTAGTCTCAAAAGGGGCATAGGGTATTTGTGAGAGCTGAGGAGGCCCTTTCAAAAACGCCCGCCCCCCCGTCACCTCTTGAAACGTGTTTTGTTTTCATTCTAGAAAACCTCTGCTTGTTAAAGAAAGAGAAAGGGCTGGGGATATCTCGCTAAAAAGGCTGCCTCGAACAGCCTTTAGCACTGCTATGACTCACAAACAGCCTGCAAGGAGAAGCCATCTTATCAGGTGAGATACAGCAAATTAAAAAAGAAAAAGTCGCAAGAATTGCTGCTTTCTTCTCCTCAAGAGCAATTTCCTGTATTTCTGGACTCCAGGAAATGTTACAAGTGCTTGCAAAGGAGACGCTGCTACACCTTTTCTCTCAAACCCACCCGATCTGGAGGGGCGAAGCTGGCTCCGAGATGTGACAATTCATTGATTTATCACGAGGAACTGGGGACAGGGTGGGAAGACACAGCTTCGTCTGCCTGGCTTCCCTGGGTGGTGAATTCATGCACTCCATCCCTACAGGTTAATCAGGGTAAAAAGTCCCCTAGACAGCGAAGACCAAGTCTCTAGACCCCACTGCACTCACTGCATCCTGTATCCACTGCACTCACTGAATCGACTGCACTCACTGCATCCTGTATCCACTGCACTCACTGAATCGACTGCACTCACTGTATCCACTGCACTCACTGAATCCTGTATCCACTGCACTCACTGCGCTCACTGAATCCACTGCACTCACTAAATCCACTGCACTCACTGAACCCACTGCATCCACTGTATCTACTGCATCCACTGCACTCACTGAATCCACTGCACTCACTGAATCCACTGCACTCACTGAATCCACTGCACTCACTGAATCCTGTATCCACTCCACTCATTGCACTCACTGAATCCACTGTACTCACTGAACCCACTGCACTCACTGTATCTACTGCATCCACTGCACTCACTGTATCTACTGCATCCACTGAATCGACTGCACTCACTGAATCCACTGCACTCACTGAATCGACTGCACTCACTGAATCCTGTATCCACTCCACTCACTCCACTCACTGAATCCACTGCACTCACTGAACCCACTGCATCCACTGCACTCACTGAATCCACTGCACTCACTGAATCCACTGCACTCACTGAACCCACTGCATCCACTGCACTCACTGTATCTACTGCATCCACTGAATCCACTGCACTCACTGAACCCACTGCATTCACTGTATCTACTGCATCCACTGCACCCACTGCAGCTACCGCTCTGACTGCATCCACCGCTCTCACTGCTCGTGCACTTGGAAGCCTCAGGAGAGGATTTCAGAGATTACGGGCTGTGAAAGACAGAGGAGGCGGACATCATTTCTGCAATAATGAATTACTAGGGAGCATTTACACAAAGGCTCCTCTGCACTAGCTCAAGGCTTCCAAGAACTTGGTTTCATTATAGAGCCCAGCAGGCAAGGAACTGCCCTATTCTGAGGACTGAGGCAAGGGATGACAGAGACTACCTGGCGAGGGCTTCACACTCACCCATGTCCTGCAACTTAAGAACTTTAATGAGCCTGGCATTGGTGGCGCACGCCTTTAATCCCAGCACTCGGGAGGCAGAGGCAGGTGGATCTCTGTGTGTTTGAGGTCAGCCTGGTCTACAGAGTGAGTTCCAGGACAGCCTCCAAAACAATACAAAGAAACCCTGTCTCAAAAAACTGGGAGAGGGGAGGGGAGAATGGGATGGGGAGGAGACAGGGAAGGAAGGAGGGAGAGGGAGAGGAAGGGAGGGGGAGAGAGAGAGAGAGAGAGAGAGAGAGAGAGAGAGAGAGAGAGAGAGAGAGAGAGAGAGAGAGAGAGAGAGAGAGAGAGAGAGAACTTCAAGGATAACTCAGTGGTTAAGAGCACTAGCAGCTCTCCCAGAAGGGTTCACAACTGTCTGTAACTCCAGTTCCGAGGAATCTGGTGCCCTCTTCTGGTCTTTGTGGGCACCACAAACACACAGGGCACAGATGTACATAAAGGCAAAACACCAATACACATAAAATTAAATAAAGTCCTCTTTAAAAACCTCCAATACACATAAAATTAAAATACAGTCCTCTTTAAAAAGCCTCTAGCCAGGCAGGTGGTACCCGTGCCCTACCCCTTCCCCAGGCCACCCAACCCTGTCTTAGGAAGCCCACGGACGGCACAGCTCCTGGTGCAGACACACCAGCGCGCATTCACCCACCCTCGGTCGTGGCACCGACCGTCGCAGACTCTTCTGTTACCTTTTTTTGCCTTCTTCTGCAGTTTCAGGGTGTCAGAGGATTTCTTTTTTATCTCCTGGCGGGCTTTCTTATATTCTGAGAGAAAGCAGAACATTGGATAACGTTACCACTCTGCCCAACCTTCCTCTCAGAAAGCATTACCGACACACAGTCAACACTCATCTCCAAACACAACGGTGAAAATCACAGAGACGTTTCACGACAAAGGAGCTGCTAACGTTAAAAACAACGAAAAGCACTACAGTCTTCCCCGGTCCTGCCCATACCAAGAAAAGATGTCATTGGGGACTGTCATAATTAAAAAAAAAAAAAGTCACGATACATCTGTTGGGGGGCTCAGGGGACAGCTCAGTGACAACGTGCTTGTGTGTAAGCATGAAGACCCGAGCGTTGGTCCTCAGCACCCACGCCAAGCAAGCAACAGTCCTGCGATGGTAACACTTGGGACCCCTCGTCCCCAAAGCTGAAATGCCTACAGGAGGAGGCGAGATGAGAGGACTCTGACCCATTCTGGTGACAGTAACCCAGTAAGCCAGCGGCACTCACAGCTACCAGGCCTCCCTCCTGCCGTACCTTTGGCGTGGTCCTTGTCCAGCTGGTTGGCCACTTTCTTCCACTCTTCCATCTGCTCTTGAAGCGGGTTTATCAGGCAGTCGATCAAAGCACTTTCGCCAGGAGACAAAGAAAAGGAGAGATTAAACGGTACACTTACACTCTGCTGTTGAGGTGCACGCATGGGTGGTAGGGTGTGGTAATGCTCGCCTGTCATCCGGTCGAGCACTTCAGGGGGGTGAGACAGAAGGATGGGCAGTTCGAGGCCAGCCTGGGCTACATGGCAAGACACTCCAAAAGGTTTACATGTAGTGCTTAAAACATGCTTCAACCATCTCCTTGAACAAATAAAGGCAATGACCCACCATTGCCTCCAAGGTCTCGGAATGCTTTCAACGACTAAGAAGTTATAGATATACACCTTCACACCACTAATCCCAGCACCCGAGAAGCAGAGGCAGGTGGGTCTCTGAGTTCAAGGTTAACCTAGTCCACAAAGTGAGTTCTAGGTCAGCCAGAGATATCTTGTGAGCTTTTGTCTCAAAAAAAAAATTAAGATAAAACAAAAACAACCACATAAAAACCATATAAGTGTGCCTGGCTAGAGAGATCTCTTCTCATATCCTCTGCTATCTTCCAGCCCACATTAAAAGGCAGGTCGCAGAAACCTGGGGCCACTCCTCTGGCCACAAAGTGGGAACCCCCAAGAGATAGGGACCCCGGAGATGAACTTAGTGCTTTCTAAAATTCCAGAGACGGGGAAATCTTTTTTTAAGACCCCAGGTGCTATGGGCACTCGGAACCTAAAATCCTGAAGACATAATGACTGTACAACCCTAACAAGGAGAAAGATGAAGAGACCAGAGCGTTCTCAAGCTGCAAGTGCCAGTTTCCAATCAACGGCAGGGAGAAGCCCGGGTACAGCCTTGTACTCAAAGCAAAGGTCAGGACAATGCTGAATTAAGCGGATCTGTTTGGGACACAAGGGCCACTTGTATCTGACGGGTGACTCCAAATCCCTGAGCCAGCCACTGCACTCTACCCAACTCCTGGTGTCTAATAACCAGACGCAAAGAGGACTCTGAGGTCCACTTCCTCCTGGTGGCTCTGTAACCAGCGTGGGCCTGGGGGACGGGGCACTAGGGCGGGCAAATCTCACTCCTCCCAAGAGGCTCCTGCGGGGAGGGGGCCTCAGTGTGCATTATCTCCACAACCGTGATAAGGAGAGCTGTGGGTGATGTATGAGCCATCTAAGGGCAGGGGATGGACTCGCCAACGCCAGCCAGCGCTAGACCCACGGCCAGCACACAGCAGATGCCCGGCTCACTCCGTGAAGAAGCAGCAGGGCAGAGAACGGGTTGTAGGGAGAGAGTGCGGCCCAGGCACCGCATCCGGAACCTAACCCTCCGGGATGGACCCGGGGAGGCCCCTCACCTGGAGAACTGCCGCAGTTTGGCCTCGATGCTTCTGTGGCGCATGCACATTCTGGTGAGTGCCGAGCCGATCTCCCGGGTGCCGCCTGGGAAAAGAGAGGAGGTTCAGGTGAGGAAGCACAAGCCAGGTCAGGTCTCATCACACCATGGGGACCCTAAGTCACTGCCTTCACAACCTCTCATTGCTCGTGCACATATGCAAATGAAATGCAAATTAATATGTAAATAAAATGCATATGCAAATACAGAACACAGACTGGGGTGTGCATTTACTGGGACACTTATTTACGGGGATGTACGGAGAACAAACTGGAACTTCAGATCCTAACTGCATAAGGACCCTGGAAGGCGCAGTGAAAGACATTAGGAAAACACTAACACTTCAACCGGGGAAAGTGTTAAATAAAACGGTTTTCTACCCAACAAAACATTCAGGAGGAAGCCACAGGAATTTATTGCAGGGTTAACCAAGTCCCCAGAAAACAGAAGGCAACAACAACAAAAGCCTCTTATTAAAACACATGGCATTACATGTTTTACATTTTGTTTTGTTCTCTCCACAGAAATGGTTGTCTTTTGGTTCAGTTCCCCTCGTCCTCCATTTTATTCTGCAAGCTAAGAGGGCTCTACAAGCAAGTAAGGATGAGCCTGGCTACCAATTAGTAACGGCTTGGCTGGACCTGGCGGCTCCAGCACTAAGTCCTGGCACTTGGGAAGCAGAAGCAAGTAGTCCACTAGGAGTTCAAAGCCAGCTGGGGCTAAACCTATCTCAAAAATACATAAACAAAGAGAGGCCAGCAGATCTGTGAGCTACGGGCCAGCCTGGTCTACACAGCACGCTCCAGACCTGCCGGGGCTGCACAGTGACACCCGGTCTCCACAACAACCTTCTACACTTAGCTCCTGGCAGGTTACTTTTCCAAGGAGCATACCTAGTCAGTCGGGGTTTCTGATAATACTGACACTTGCAGTGAGGCTATCCTGTGTATTGCCAGTTAGCAACATCTTGGATTGGACCCTCTTGGAGCCTGTAGCAGGATCCTCCTACTATTACTCAGCCTTGAGTATCTGAAAATATCTCCAGATGGTACCAGGTTTTCCCTGAAGAATAAAACTCACACTTTACTGCTCATCAGTGTTATAAAACCTTGAGCGAGACACAAATGTAATCCCCAGGCTAGTTTGACCTCTAAATAGTGCCTCTGGGGGTTGAGGTCACAGGTCGGTTGGAAGAGTGCTTGTCTCATGGGTATGGAAGCCTTTGGGCTCCAGGAAGCTGCCACAGAGGCACACCACACACCTGTAATCCCATCACTCCAGAGATGGAGGCAGGATGACTAAAAATTCAATACCACTGTCAGCTACATAGCAAGTTCAAGGCCAGCGCAGGATACAAGAGATTCTGTGACCCCCCCCCATCCACACAACCACAGTCCCCCCAAAACCTATTTCCTACAAAGTGTCTGTGTCTTCCTGGGGATCACCAGTAGAGGGCGCAGTTCTCACATGATGCTCCACTTGAGTTCCCATCCTCTTGCTGGAGGTTTTAGGGGTTAAGGTGAGGAACGAGGACCGCTTTATCCCCTGGAAAGAGATTTCCTCTTCCTGCGCCTTCACCTGATTAAAAATTAATAACGTGGCCACACAAGAATCCTGGCTCACTTACTCGCTGTTGCTAGGCAGTAGACTAAGTCCCTCCTGGGGGGAAGCAGCAGCGGCCATCGGGAAATAACCTAAAAACAGCACTCTCTGACCCAGCAGCTCTAATCTAAGAATCGAGCCTGCGGAAACAATTAAGAAAAACGGCGATTCCTCACCTGGGAGGACATTGATGGAGATGTTTACAACATCAAAAAATCCCATAATAATGATCTAGTTAAATGAACCATGGGGCACAGACACCCAACTGAATAGGACACAGCTGTTTAAAGACAGAATTGTGTGTCACTCGGATGCTGCTGAGAATGTTTAGGTAGCGGCCTAAGTACTTTCCTCATAGTAAATCATTCAGGCCTCACAACACGCCCGGTTGTGTTGGTAATGTTACCAGGCCCGTTTCACAGACAGAAGCACTTCCAGCGGCATGCCCAAGGTTACAGGACTAGTGAATGACATTCATCAGCTCAACCTGCCGGGCTTATGCTTCCAGCCACGTGACTCTTCATACAGACAAAAAAACAATAGGGGGGCAGAGCCCCCCCAGTCCAGCTTCCTCCCTTACCCACTAACACGATGGGGAGATTTTGTTCAGCTATCAAGTTTGGCTCTTGAGTCTAGAACTGTAATGGTGCCTGAATGGCCAGAAGCTGTCCCAGCAGACAACATAGACAGCTATGGATTGGGGGTCCACTCGGGACCTACACTTCCATCTCCTTGAGGTAGACCTGGAGACCGGGAAAGACCATGACAAAGGCCAGTCCCCCACCTCTGGCTTTGTTTTGTTTTTCCTGTCCTATTATTTCAGCGCCTTCCCGATATTTTTCCACAGATCTATTTCACCCCCAGGGCCTTCCAGAGGCAGCCAAGTTGCAGGCCACCTGATGCACGCAGTTTCTGAACGGAATGCCTGTGCCCACCATGTGTCTCTGCGCAGGAAGTCGCGGAGGACAGGAAATGGAGAAACATAATGAGAGCTTCCTACCATCAGTATCTCTGTAACTGGCACAGGGGCCGAGGCAGATGACATCCCCTGTGCGCCCCAGGACCCAGTGTTGGAACTTGCCGATCCCGGCATCATGGGTCACCCTAAAAATAGCTCTATCTGTGTAAGTACTTAGCAACAGCTGATGCTCTCCTGACCTCTGCTAGGACTTTAAAAAAAAACTCAGCAGGTTTGAATTGGAGGAAACTGGCTGGAGCTACAAAGACGGAGAAGACATCTGGACAGGGTCCAACATGACAACGGGAGTATTTATGGAATCACAAATGGCGACTTAGGCACCTGGCCACCTTACTCCTTGAATGACAGAATATTTATCATTGGAGGCTGGCCCAGCAATCAGTTTGCTTTTTTTCTTTATCCCCTAGCATCAGGAACCTTCCTCAATTTGTTCTCTGCGTTATTTTTTAAATCACTTTTTGAGATACGGTCTCTCGCTGAGCGTGGAGCTCACCAGCTGGGCTAGCCGGGCTGCCCGGTCAGTAAACCCAGGGATCCTTTCATCTTCTCCTCGGAGTTGGGTTGCAGGCATGTGCTACCACACCCAGAACTTTCTACGGGCTTGGGGGACCGAACGCAGGCGCATGCGTGTGTGGGAAGCCCTTCACTGACCTAATGAATCACCGTCTATGACAAAATGTGAGATTTTAATCTTGGAAAAGGCCTATGAGGAGTGTGGGGGAAAAGCGGACATATAAGTTTGCCGTAACTCGGTGTCTTCCAACGAAGATTTAGCATCCTACAGTTCTGGGGTTAGCAGTTCACAATGGGTGTCACCGGGTGAACTTCGGGTGCTAGCAGAGTCGTGTTTCCCCGGGAAACCATTTCCTGCCCTTCCCACCCTCTTCTCAAGGCTGCCAGTGTCCCTTGACTCACAGAGGCCTCCTCCCCCATCTTCAGAGCCAGAGGTGAGTCGATGTCATCTGCAAACCTCTGCTTCTGTCCTGTCCCCGTGTCTTTTCTCTCTGACTTTACCTCCCTGCCATCTTTCCCACAGGAAACATTGTCATGATGTTGCGCCTGTCACAAAATCCTTAGTGAAATCACACCTGCAGGCAGCCACTTCCCAGGGCAGCGGGGACCGTCTCCAAAGGTCCTGTGAGAGTGTGTAATAACATCTACAGAGACGGTAAGAGCCGTGAATCTGGAGCAGTGAAGGGTGAGTGTGAGACTCCCCAGAGTGGACTCTAGCATCCACGCTTAAATGATGTAAGTCCCTGCTTCTTGGCAATGGCTGGTTCAAGGATGACAAAGAGTTGCAGACAGTAAGGACACTGGGGAGGCTGTCAGGAGATGTTATCAGAGACCTCTAAGACACGACCAAGGACATAGACTGCCCAGCCGCTGAGGCACACCACCATGACTCTGGGCTACTTGTCTTAGGGTAAGGGTCACCCTGTCTACAGAAGTCAGAAACCCCAAGGCTTCACAACTTCCCTAGCCGGCTCCAAGCTGAGCCTGTCCCTCTCTCAACTTGGGCGCCCCCCATTCCACAAGGCCATCCGTATCTTTATTTGTAAAGTCACTTTGATTTGGTTTCATGTCTTGGAAATGAGGGAATGGAGCCAAGTCCTGTAAAATACTTTATGGCTGAAATCTCAATTCTTTTCAGTGTGGCACACTGAGCCTTCTCTCATAACAGACAAATATATATTCAAACGACACAAAGCCAAAGCCAGCCAATGATGATGTATGACAGGCCACAAGCATCCCTGGACTATAGGAGAGTGAATGTTTTACACATGAAGACTAATTCCCCAAGTGTTTCTTGAGCGTGGTATTAGCTTCCTCCCTGCCTACCAAAGGGCACCGAGTCTGCTGGCTTCCAATGACCAAACGCAGTCCTCACAGTGCTGGAGGTACTGAGCTCAAGCTATCAGCAGGACCAGGCTCTCACAGCAGCCCAGCAACCCATAAGGGAAGTCTGTGCCTCTGGCCCCCCCACGGCTAACCGCAGCATCATCTAAATAAGTCTTTGCCACCACGGATACACAGCCCTGCTCTTCAGTCTTCCAAGTGCGACATACGTAAAGACTGCACTGTCCTCGGTCCAACTCTGCCTCTCTCTCTCTCTCCCTCCCTTTAACAATGCCAGCGCTACTGGATGAGGGAGGGCTCACCCTGGCGACCTGATACAGCCTAGAACAGATCTGCAGTGGCTCAGTGTCCAAAGAGCCCTGGTCGTGTGCAGCAATGATCAGGAGCCTCGGCATGGGCGGCACGGGGACTAAAGCAACCCTGAACAAGGTCTACCTTGGAGAAGGGGGTGGAGAGATGCCAAGGCTACCGAAGACAAGGCTCAGCCCTTGAGAGCTGACACTGGGGAGTGGGAAAGGGGACATGGCGGAGGCACATAAGGGGCGTGGCCTGATGGGTGGGGAAGCAGGACAAGAAAGAGCACCAGATGTGGGAGAGCGAAGTGCACCCTTGGGGAACTGTAGACGCCCCACTGAAACCTGTCCCCGCGGCACAGCGAGTGCTAGCGAGCTAAGAACGGCAACTGGGCGAGCACTGGTCCAGTCAGAAGGCGACCACACCATATACAGCACGAGGACCCCAGTCCCACCCAGAATCCAAGCCCCAGGTGCCGCGTGCATGCCTGCTAACCCTGTGCTGGGGGAGGCAGAGACAGGATTCTGGAGCTCAGTGGCCAGCGGCTTAGGCAACCAATAAACACCAGGCTCAGAAAGGAATCCTATAACACAGAGAGGACCAGGGCATACAATGCTCTCTGGTCTCCATAGTTTTGCATGCATGTACACACACACACACACACACGCATGCACGCACGCACACACTCACACAGCAGTCCTAGGAGAAAGGCACCTTCCTTGCCCCTCAGCAGGGCTTGCTAATAGGCCACACAGCAGCCCAGCAGAACGGCCAGTGCCGAAACCCTACTTTTGTCTGACTGGTATCAGAAGTCTTCTTCCTGCTATGACAAGCTGCAGACATCCCCAACTGAGGACAAAGAGGAGCATTTAACGTCATAAACAGAATACAAATTGTTTTACGGCTGCTTCTCAGGGGGTGGGAAGGAAACCGGGAGGGCAAAGGCCTTGGAGCCACTGTTCCTTCCTCTAAACAGTAGCCCACGTGGCTGGGGCCGTCCGGCTGCCACTACAAAGGTGGTGTCTATCAAGCGGCATTGTCACACCCCTCCCAGCCGCCTCATTTGTGGGGCGCCTCCATCTCCCAGCGCAGTGGGGGCTACACAGGCAGGCGGCCTGGGCCTGCCATGCGGGCAGGTGGCAGGCTGGATCCTACAATGGGTCAGGGAAGCACTGGCGACTAGATTTAGGAACTGCTCTGGCCGAAGCATGAGGGCGCAGTGAGTCGCTGTGTGTCCTGTCGAAGGCTCGCTGGAGCCTCAGGTGACCGCTCGACAGGAGAATAGTCTCTGGAACCTCCCAGAAGCAGGGCCCAGGACGGGACAGTTCAGCTCTGCACCGGGTTATTATGTATTGTTCAAACAACCTCCCACGCATCTTTTAAGATAGGATAGACTCAAGCTTGCTAAGGAATGAAGGACGATCTTGAACTTCTAAACTCTCCTCCCAAATGTTGGGATTACAGGGCTGTGTCACTACACCCAGGTTGGAAGTCAAACCCAGGGCCTTCCGGGCATGGCATCCACAGTCCTGAACGGTCAGTTTTACGCCCGGAGCATTAGAGATGTTTCACAGCACCTGGGGCCTCCCCAATCAGACGTTCCTCCCACAATCTCTCATCACCAGGCCATGAAGGCTTGTAAGACTGCAGCCTCCCCAGCTCCTTCCGCACCGAACCGATAGGTAACATGCATCCTGTAATGAGGAAACAAGCAACCCACGAGCCATTAAAGAAACATTAATTTAGAAACACAGAACTGGCGCTCTTCAAAGTCAATAGGCCCATAATCCCTGCCCGCTGACTTACGGACTCATTAATTCAACTGCTCTGTGCCAGACAACATACTGGGAAAGAGACACGGAAGTCCGTGGTCTAAATCGGCAGAGACCCACCTTCCATGGAGTCGGAGAAGGTCTACCAAAGGACTCAAAAATTTGGTGCTCGAGTGGGGGTGGGGAGTACGAGAAAACAGGTTCCAGAGGCTCGATGTCAGGGCTACCATCCACACACTTGGCTAACCCCAAATTGTCTCTCTGAGATCTTGGCACTGGACCAAAACAGCAGCCATGCAGGACTAAGCCAGCTGCACGCAGCATTACTTGGGGACCCTCAACACGTTTCAGAGGTGGCTCGCCCAATCACACAGGTGGGCGTGCTTCCCTGGCAGTACGCCTAACAAGATCTAAGAGAGTTACAACTACACGGAGCCTGGCACATAGCTACCACACACCCCAAATATACCAACCCTGAGTGTGAGGCCACCTATGGCATACCCCCCCACCCCCATATGGTTTCTATGCATAATAGCTCTGGCTGTCATAGAACTTGATTTGTAGGCCAGGCTGACCTCGAACTCACAGAGATCCTACCTGCCTCTGCCTCCCGAGTGCTGGGATCCAAGGCGTGCGCCGCCACCACCTGCGACATGTCTCCCCAGAAATATTTTCTCAAGCCTGGTTCATCCATACCAAATGCCCCTGTTGAGGTAAACAATGTCCCTCGCCACTGACCTCTAGGGGTCGGGGGCTTTCTTAGAAGCTCTCCCATCCTTGCTATATCCTCGGGTGATCTACAGGCCCCGTGGCCACAGGATTTCCACAGCACTGTTCACACTGCCTGATTCCCCAGCATGGACACTAATGCCCCGCCATCTCCTGAGCTAAAGCTAGAGGGCAACCCAGGGAAGGAGGGGCTCTGAAGACAGCAACGGAGCTGCGGAGCCCTCCCCGCACTGACCTGTTCTACTCAAACGCCGACCTTGTGTTTAGAACACAAAAAGCGGTATACTAACTACTGTCATCTCTACGCTACACTGACTCTCACACCCTACCACCAGCCATAATTTCTCACTCGTGTCTCTGGTAAAGCATCAAGTAGCCTAAATTTTTTACAATGCTTCCGTCTTCCCAATGCGTGCGCGCACGCACGTGCGATTGAACCTGGGACCCTCGTACATGCTTTTCAAGCCCTCTGCCCAGCTCCCCCCCTTATCCCTACCAGGCCCCCTTAACCTTCTCCTCATGCACACTTTGATGGCGACTGTTTCTACAAGGAGCTGGCTTTAGTCACCTTTTCAAACACCCCACTCACTGTGCAGGAAACAAATCTTGATCTTTACACCACAATCCCAAGGCCGATGTGCCCTGTATCTCAGTTACTGAACAACAGCCGGACAACGGGCGCCTACGGGTTTGGGAGTTTAGGGACTCTTTGTTAAGCCTACAACTCGGGCGGGAGGCAGACGCCGAGTCGTGCTAGCAAAGATCCCACCTCTGGGTGCACAAAAGACAGCAACGGTACATTTTATAGAGAAAACAAGACACACTGGTTACATCCAGGGGCCAATTACGCAGAGGAACAATAACCACTGCCAAGTCCTCGGGAGGAGGAAGATGGAGCAGTATCAGCTTTGGTCGGGCTGCTGCGTGTCCATTACAGGGCACCAGCCCAACCTGCAAGCAGCCTGTCCCCTCCTGCACGGAACGTTCTTCTCCACAGAGCTGGTAAACTAGGTGAGGAAGAGGCAGTGGACAGCACAGGGCTGGCGTCCGTGAGAACCAGGATCGCTGCTCCCTGCCACACCCCAAACAGCGTTCATCTGCTGTACCTGCTGGGAAAGGGGCGCTGAGCTCGCCGCCACCCGTACACTCACATAGAGAGACAGACTGTCTGGCGACAAAGCTATCGTGGTCAACCCACTAGAGGCCACGCTGGCCCCTCTGCCCTGCCCCCTCAACAGGCAGAAGGCTGCCCTCTGCTCCCCAGCTTTGCAACAACCCCTGGATCCCCTTGGCTGTTCCTTTTCATACTGCAGAGTTCCAAACCATGACATCACCAGCCTCCCTGCAGCCAAAAAGGGAAAGGAAAGCGCCTACCGAAATGAAGGCTGGATGGAGCTGTCATGGGACACACAGGCCGTCCAGGCCAGACTCTGCAGCGGCCCAGCAGGCTGTGATAGTTTGATCTCTCTCTCTCACACACACACACACACACACAAGCCCATTCTCAGAGAGCACCAAAGACTCAGAATGTCAGGTGTCTTCACCTCGGTGGCGGCTGGAGGCCTGGCCAGTGCAGCACTGCAGAAGCAGCCCAGCGTGTCTCAGATGCTGCTCGGGCTGGGAGGCAGAGCATGGCTGAGTATGCCATCTGCCGCCCACGGGGATGCCTGGAGGCCAGCTCCTGCCTTGGCTGAAACAGCTCTGAGCACACACGTGCGCTCTCCTCTCTCTCTCTCTCTCTCTCTCTCTCTCTCTCTCTCTCTCTCTCTCTCTCTCTCTCTCTCTCTCTCTCTCTCTCTCTCTCACACACACACACACACACACACACAAACTCATTCGAAGAAAAGCATCAGATGACCACACAGCTGCGTGTGACACCTCTGCCCAGTTCCCTGGTCTCTCCTGGGCATCTCCCACCACACAACGAGTGAAGGTTTCTGATGGAGTAATTGGTGCCATAGAATGGTATCCGAGGGTGAGTCTGAATTCTAACAGCAGACGGCAGGCAGCCCCCCTTCACTCGGGGGCTCAGGGGAGGAGAAACGGAGCAGCAGCTCCAAGCATTCCAGTTACCACACAGTCCCGTACCCTCTTCCTTAGACAAGACTCTCAGCAGAAGCAGCCTCATGTGAGTCACTGCAGAGTGACCATGTCAGCCCTGACAAGGGCTGTAAAACCATCCAAGCTCTTCCCTCTTTACTGCTAGGGCCTAGAATGTTCCTGCAACAAACAGACTCAAGGAAATGAGCACATGGACACATGGCCGTGTCATTAACTTACAGAGAAAGGCTCCTTAGGTCTCAACTAAAAAAAAACCCTTAAAACCAGTTTTCAAAAATAAACCCTGACGGGCCCTCACAAAGGACCTGCCACTTCCTGTTGACCACAACGGTGACCCCAAGGAGCCGTTTCAACCTTCAAGGAAGAGAGACACATGGAATTTCCCAGGTTTTTTTTTAAACTGTTATTCAGCAACTGTACATAGCTGAGTGTGGATGGGGACCCCAGCTGGTGTTTGGGAGGACAGTTAATGCCGTGCAATCAGCAAATGCGGGGGGGGGGCTGTGTCTCATTCCTTGAAGACACCGTGGCGCCCCCACGCAGGCTGGAAGATTGTGCAAGCAAGCTGTTATCAGGTGGGGATCACTCAGCCGCTCCCCACTTCACAACTTTTCAGAAAACAAAACCACACAGTCCCACCACCATCTGGCACCTTCAGGCCAACATGCACGGGATTCTGGCGTGTGTGGTACCGGCGGCCACTAAGACCAACATTCCGCTTTCTTTGTGGCTGTTTAAAAGCAAGGCGGGGATGGTATTAGGGAAACACAGACCACGGGCACGTTCATACCGTGGAAAACCAGGACAGGAGCAGGCATGGTCACGTGGGACTGCCGCCCCGGTGCAGAGCCCCGGGAGGGTGTCACCCAGAAGTTCTGCAGGCTCCCGGGCAGCTGCCACCATGAGCCCCACACACTGCCATGGCCAGCCTCCATGGGCACAGGAAGAGGCTCCTTCTGGAGCCAAAGCGAGGGAGCCTGGAGGACAGTAGCTCAGCCAGTGAAGCAGATGTGGCCTGATACATGAACCACATGTCACTTTCTTAGCTGCCAAAATATACAACCGTCGGGGAGGCTCACAGCAGCCAGCTCTGGGTTTATTTCCCAAGTCAGATCCCATGGACCAGGAGAGGGGGAGCTGCAAGCTGTGTGATCAAAACTGGAGTTCGGGAGCAGTGAGGAGCTCACACAGTCACATCCCGTGACAACACGGGCCTTGGAACCTCCAGTTCCTATCATCAGGCTACATCTGCTCCCACTGTCCTCACTTAAGAGGCCTCTCTGTACATCCACGAACTGGGCCAGAAAGCTTTGTCGTCTCTCCTCTAAGTTAACCAGAAATGACTGTTTCCTGAGTGCTAATGTGACAGACCTGGCACGGACACCTCAGTTGTTATTCTAAAAAAGAAGTCACTACAGCAAAGGCTGGGTTGGTAGGAGCACTTGCGCAAGCAAGAGGTCCTCAGTTCGACTCCCTGGTGCCCTTTTAAAAAGCCCGGCATGGGTATGCCTATGACCCCAGCCCTGGGGGCACACGGAGGGAGATGCCAAGGGCTCACTGGCAAGCCAATTTAGTCAACACGGTGAGCTTCCGGCTCGGTGAGAGACTCTGTCTCAAAAGCCTGGGCAGAGAGAGCAACCGATGAAGGTGCCCAATGTCCTCCTCAAGTATACCCAACACAGGCATGCGCACAATAAGATAGTATTAATACAAACAAAAACCCATCTACTCCTTGTGGGCCACCACTGGTTGAAGACATTGGCCCCAGGTTACTGGTGCTGACAAAGTAGGTGCAGAGAGGCCGAGGGTAAACGAACTCCAACTCTGGCTCACCAGAGGGCCTGGCTCTCACTACACACACAGGGAGCAGCCATAGGCAGGAGATCCAGAGTCTGGCTCTCACCACATAGGGAGCACCCATGATGCACACACAGGCAAGAGAAAGCATTACCCCTTGTCCTGACACCCCATCCTCCCCACTTCTCTCTTCCAGTGTCAGGACTTAAAAGCAGTTTCAGTTTCCAGTTCCCAAAATGAGTTCTTAAGGTCAAGAGAAAATCCAAAAAGTAGCCTGGGAATTCCTGAAGCTTCTTTGATGCCCATGCTAACTAATGCATTTCATCTTGTGCTTTAGAAATCAGACCTGGAGATGGATGGACGGACAGACACGAATGGACACAGACAAACAGACACAAACACACACACACACCGATATATATCTCATCTTAAGTGACTACATATCTCTAAAGAAAAAGGGAGAGGTTAATTATTACCTAAAAATATAATCCAAGCTTGGCAGCAGTGGTGGCGCTCGCCTTCAATCCCAGCACTCAGGAGGCAGAGGCAGGAGGATCTCTGAGTTTGAGGCCAGCCTGGTCTACAGAGTGACTTCCAGGACAGCCAAGACTACACAGAGAAAACCTGTCTTAACCCTCCCCCCAACTACATATAAATAAATCTGGAGCCTGGGAGTGGTGGTACATTTTTAATTCCTGTACTCAGGAGGCAAAGGCAGGTAGATTTCTGTGAATTCAAGGCCAGCCTGGTTTAGACAGTAAGTTCCGGATGAAGAAGGGCTGCATAGTCAAACTGACGATGATGGTGGTGATGAAACTTAGGAGTTGGAGAGAATTATAGACCTGAGCTCAGCTTCCAACACAACCACCTATAACTAGCTCCAGGGGAGCCTCTGACCATCAAGGTCACCTGCACTCAGACACACACACACACACACACACATACACACACACACACACACACACACACACACACACACACACACACACACACAGGCATACGTAAGTAAAAATGGTAAAATGTTTTTGAAAAGTTTGCAAAGTTAAGGTGGGGTCACCACAGAGTTCAGAAGAATTCAATGTTCAGTTCTGTGGAGCACAGTTAGAATGTGTCCCGGC